TGCAGGTTGACGTCACTGAGTGCAGGGACATTGTGACATTGTGTGTGCTTCCTAATCAAAGTAGTCATCAGAAAGTGGAAACGCTGTCGTCATAAAGGGACTGTGGCATTTCAAACTATATTTAATTGGTACTAAGAGTTTGCCAGGGAAATATCCCCACATCAACATACTACCAACAGGCTGGATTGTTGAAACAAGGCAGAATAGAGCAATACTCTTGTGTTATTTACAGCAAAGTAAGACTGCCAGCTGAATGTTGAAGTGGAAATTGAGATTACTCTGTTTTAGAATCTGTTATCATCAGATTTTGATGATTCTGTGAAACTCTTTCTTGTTCGTACCTGACAGGAAGGGCACCTACCGTGGTGATCTGTTGCTGTACCCCATCTATTTCAATGTGGCATCAGGAAGGCATTGTTTCCCACAGAACTGCTTCTCACTAGCATGGTTGTGCAGGAAAAATCCTAGTAGATCAGCAGTTTCTTCAAAACACAAACCAGCCCATGTGGCATCAATAACCATCCCATATTCAAAGCAATTTAAATTATTTTTATGATTTCAATACAGCTGAGATAACCTGCCATGTGATCGGCTGTGTCAAATGCTATAACCTTTGGGTGTGGGTTCTGACTACCATCTGTACTCTTTCATTAAACACGACTTCATACTTGGCCTGGGTTGGGTGCATTGAGAATGTGTGATATCAAGACAGTTTTCAGGCCAGATCATTCACAGCTCCCCTTCTGTCAATGTTTTCATAATTTTAAGGACATACTTTCTAAAGGCAGACACGAGGAAGAAGGTTTTTGTTTTTGCAGACGATGTGGCTTCTTATGCCTTCATCAAGCAGTGACCTCCAGCTCACACTGGGGCTGTTTGTAGCCAAGTGCAAAGAGGCAAAGAGAAAGATGCTCAATCACTTTTTAATACATTTTAAAAAACGATTGGACCAGATTAAAATATACAGTTTCATATCAAGTGGGTGTATTTCATAAAACAACTGGTTGAACTTAAAACATCTGGTCAACCCAAGACACTGATGACATTGATGTTGTTTTACTTTCAAACTCGACAGCGTAGGAGTTTTCTGTCCCCTTTTGATGATCTGAATCCTTTTCATCAATGTTTTAATAAAAGTTTTATTCACATTAAAGTCTGAATCTTCTACACTGCCCAAGGTGATTAGTGAAGAAAACCTCAGATGTGCTGAGATGATCAACTGCAGGATCATTTGCTCCTAAACTTGCTTCTGCTGCCTGTGTTTCCACATAATATACACATGCATATAATAATGATCCTACAGCATAAGTAATCTCACAGTGGTGAGAGGAGAGTCAGAGTCAGCTTTATAAGCATCTCAATCTCTTGTGAGTCTCCTCACAGATGCACACCGACCCCCAGTGCTCAGCCTTGATATGCTTAATATTTTTGTGCATCATTTCCTTATTACTACCCTGTCTTGAAATAATAAAGTCTGCTTATTTTGAATCCTCAGATTGGGGTGG